TCTGTGACAAATGATAACACATGTCTGTGACCAATGATAACACATCTGTGACAAATGATAACACATGTCTGGTGACAAATGATAAAACATGTCAGTGACCAATGATAACACATGTCTGTGGCCAATGATAACACATATCAGTGACAAATGATAACACATGTGACAAATGATAACACATGTCTGTGACAAATGATAACACATATCTGTGACAAATGATAACACATGTCTGTGACCAATGATAACATATATCTGTGACAAATGATTACACATGTCTGTGACAAATGATTACACATGTCTTTGACCATTGATAACACATGTCTATGACTAGTGATAACACATGTCTTTGACAAATGATAACACATGCCTATGACCAATGATAACACATGTCTGTGACCAGTGATAACACATGTCTGTGACCAGTGATAACACATGTCTGTGACCAATGATAACACATGTCTGTGACAAATGATAACACATCTGTGACAGATGATAACACATGTCTGGTGACAAATGATAAAACATGTCAGTGACCAATGATAACACATGTCTGTGGCCAATGATAACACATATCAGTGACAAATGATAACACATGTGACAAATGATAACACATGTCTGTGACAAATGATAACACATATCTGTGACAAATGATAACACATGTCTGTGACCAATGATAACATGTCTTACCAATGATAATACCTGTCTGTGATAAATGATAACACATACCTGTGACAAATGATAACACATGTCTGTGACAAATGATAACACATGTCTGTGACCAATGATAACACATGTCTGTGACAAATGATAACACATGTCTGTGACCAATGATAACACATGTCTGTGACAAATGATAACACATGTCTGTGACCAATGATAACACATGTCTGTGACAAATGATAACACATGTCTGTGACCAATGATAACACATGTCTGTGACAAATGATAACACATGTCTGTGACCAATGATAACACATGTCTGTGACAAATGATAACACATGTCTGTGACCAATGATAACACATGTCTGTGACAAATGATAACACATGTCTGTGACAAATGATAACACATATCTGTGACAAATGATAACACATGTCTGTGACCAATGATAACATGTCTGTGACCAATGATAACACCTGTCTGTGACAAATGATAACACATGTCTGGTGACAAATGATAACACATGTCTGTGACCAATGATAACACATGTCTGTGACCAATGATAACACATGTCTGTGACAAATGATAACACATATCAGTGACCAATGATAACACATGTCTGTGACCAATGATAACACATATCAGTGACCAATGATAACATGTCTGTGACCAATGATAACACATATCTGTTACAAATGATAACACATGTGGCAAATGATAACACATGTCTGTGACCAATGATAACACATATCTGTGACAAATGATAACACATGTCTGTGACCAATGATACCACCTGTCTGTGACAAATGATAATACATGTCTGTGACCAATGATACCACCTGTCTGTGACAAATGATAACTCATGTCTGTGACCAATGATACCACCTGTCTGTGACAAATGATAATACATGTCTGTGACCAATGATAATACCTGTCTGTGACAAATGATAACTCATGTCTGTGACCAATGATACCACCTGTCTGTGACAAATGATAACACATGTCTGTGACCAATGATAACACATGTCTGACCAATGATAACACATGTCATTGACACAGATAACACATGTCAGTGACACGGATAGCACATGTCTGTGATAAATCATAACACCTGTGACAAATGACGACACATGTCTCTGACCAATGATAACACCTGTCTGTGACCAATGATAACACATGTCTGTGACCAATGATAACACGTAATTGACACAGATAACACATGTCAGTGACATGGATAACACACGTCTCTGACAAATGATAACACATGTCTGGTGACCAATGATAACACATGTATGTGACCAATGATAACACATGTCAGTGACACAGATAACACATGTCAGTGACATGGATAACACATGTCTCTGACAAATGATAACACATGTCTGGTGACCAATGATAACACATGTCAGTGACCAATGATAACACATGTCTGGTGACCAATGATAACACATGTCTGTGACCAATGATAACACATGTCAGTGACATGGATAACAACACAGATTTATGACAAAAGATCATGCATTGAACACTTTACAAGATAATGAATGACACACACCAAAATATTGTCTGCACCTCTGAAAGTGAATTAAAGTACAAAACAAGCTAACTGCTAGTATAATTGTGCTGCTAGAAAGTGTTTCAATGTTTTAATAACTGATGTTGTTACATATGTGAAGGAAAAACCAAAGCCAGTGGAAACGAAACCAGAGCCAGTGGAAACGAAACCGGAGCCAGTGGAAACGAAACCGGAGCCAGTGGAAACAAAACCGGAACCAGTGGAAACGAAACCGGAGCCAGTGGAAACGAAACCGGAGCCAGTGGAAACGAAACCGGAGCCAGTGGAAACGAAACC